ACAAAACCCGAGATTTCTGCCGATGAGGTGGGGGGGGCCAGAGGGGTGAGGCAAAGTGCTGACCGCCAGGTCTTTGCTCCTTCTTCCATCACCCCTCAGTTTAAAAAAACTAAACCGAACCCAGACAAGGGCAGGAGCATCCCAGCTCCTCGCCACCCAGGGTTCATCTCCCACCCGGCGGCACGCTTCCCAAACGAGGGGAGGGGGAATTGGGGGCCAGGCAAGACCTTCCACGGTCCACGGCAACTCAGCCGGCCGTGGCACGCGTGCTCTCGCCCCACGGCAAGGCAGATTTAAATGGTCAGATCCAGACGGAGACTTCCCTCCTGCAACACACGCCCGGGTTCTCCTTGAAGCCTCTCCCCTCTGGGAAGAGGAAAGCCGAGCGCCCGCCGCTGCCTACGAAGGGAGCAGAAATGGAGCGAGGCTCCGTGCCTTCCACCTTCCCCACCCTCTGGCACGAGTGTTGCAAGAGCCAGCTGGAAAGCAGTGAGTATTTTTGGAAACGGGGGTGATCACAGCTTTTCCCTAATCCTCTTTCATCATTAAAAAATTGCAGGGCCAGGGGGAAGTAAATGTTACCCAGTTCCGTCCACCTCCCTCTCTCCGTCCTGCCCGGTCTCCCTACAGTTTCTGGCCGGGGGCGGCACAGCCGGAGGCGACCGGCTGAAGTCCCATCTCCTTTTCGTGGGGGCCGCTGTACTTGTAATCCATGGTGGCAGGGGGCCTGCAGTGCTTCTTCACCAGGTGGTACCCCACGGCCAGCAGGGCCAGGGCCACCGAGAGGATGCCCACGGCAATGCCCACCAGCACGCCGGGGTGGAGGTGCTCCGGCTTCGGTGGGGTCCGGCTGGGGGTGGGGGTCTGGTCTTCGGGCCCGAAGTCCCCCGAGTACTTCTCCTCCCCATCCTCCTCCGGGATTTTGACGCAGCAGTTCTTGTTGTCGAGCTGGTAGCCGGCTTGGCAGTGGCACTCGTAGCCGCCGGGGCGGTTGCTGCAGTTCTGGGGGCAGAAGTTCATGTCGCACTCGTCGATGTCCACGCAGACCTGCCTGCTCTCGTCCTCCAGCACGAAGCCGTCGGGGCACTCGCAGGTCCCGGTGTGGGGGTCGCAGTGGGCCGGGCACCGGCTGCGGTTGCAGTGCAGCAGGCAGCGGGTGGGCTCCTGCGGATCGACGGCGT